TGCTTTACTGTAGGTAAAAAAAGTAAAGGCTTATATTGTTGCTGTTTGGAAAATCTCTAGAAAGTTTACATTTCTCACTAATCTAAATGGTTCCATGGGGCCACGTAACCTGAAGGGTAGGATCTCATGGCAAGCATGGGTCTGAGTTTGACAGATGCCATCTACAAGTTGGCATCTTGCTTTGAGTTGGAGGAGATCAGAGGGACAGGGGCTTCCTGTTTCCAGCCCTCCCCTGGGCATTTGATGTTCACTGCACGCAACACCTGCTTACTCTGCCCAAACCGGAAAACCAAACCTGCTGCCATTCCGACTCACAGCGACCCTGTAGGACAGAGCAGAAATGCCCCATAGGGTTTCCAAGGAGCAGCTGGTGGATTCGAACTGCCAGCCTTTTGGTTAGCAGCCATAGCTCTTAACCACTGCACCACTAGGGCTCCTTACTCTGCCCAGAGGGTCTAAGTTTGTGCCTCAAACATTACCATTTACCCAACTCTCAGGGAGCCCAAAAGGCCAGGGGCTCACCTACTCTTTTATCATTGTAAATACAGCATCTTTGAGACTGTCCCTTGGCCTCTGTCAAACTCCCCTCTCCCCTGTAAAATGACAGGTCCTGCCAGGTGATGTGAGATCTCTGGTCCCTCCAGTTGTCCCTTTGGGTTAGTCCCTCATAAGGGAGGCAGTAGCACCGCTGTTGCTTCAAATCCTGGTTCCCATTGTTTCACCTTGACCATTTTGCTTGAACCGTCTGAGCTCAGCTTCCTCATTTGTTAAATGGGGACAACACCTTCCTTGCTGAGTTGTGAGTATTATTGAGGCAATATACACTGAGGACCTGGAACAGTTAAAAACAGGGCCTTGATGCCTGATTTTACTATTAATATTATTAGTATACTGTGGATCTTTTAAACTGTTTCTACATTTATCTTTGTTTTTAAAAAATATGTTTTTAAACCATAAAATCTACAATGGAAAAGGTTTTTATTTTTTTTAATTTAAAACGCACCCTTAGTGTGTCCGTTACATTTTTGCCAGACCCGAGGATCGGTTGGTCCCCAGGCTGCTTTGTGAGAGCACCGGGTTTGGGTCACCGAGACTGACCCAGCGGGAAGCAGCTCTTCCAAGCTCGAGGCTGGAATGGCTGTCTCATCTGCTTTTAGTGTTGTTCCCTAACGTGATGTTGTCTCCGCTTACAAGCCTCTAAAACTCCCCGGCCCACGTTCCCTGCATACATTAGCCCTAATGTATTCTATCTTGAATACTCATCATATTAAGGCTCCTGGTAGATACCTTGCTCGAAATAAATTTTATGGGCATACATCCTTTCCCTCATCCCCATGCATTTTGTGGCTGGGAGGAGAAATATAGCCTTATCCTTCCTCTCAGGGAAGACCAAACAACAAGTTATGTCCGAAGCGGCGGCCCTTCTTGCTCAGGAGCCGAGGCAGGTGCCGGGAGCCGGCTCGATCCCGCGCAGAAGCAGCTCAAGGCCAGCGAGGACCTTGCTCTATCCGTGCTCTCAAAGGGTTAATTTGCCTCTCTAGAGGCGCCTTCGCTCCCAGCCGTAATCTGGCTCGTCAGAATCCCTGTGTTTGCCTACACAAAGAGGAAGCCTCTGCCCGGGCTGTCGGGGCAGAGGGAAGCAAGTGGGCGACATGGGGCCGAACCCTGGCTGGCGACTGCTTACGCCCGCAGTGCGGAGGCCAAGCCGCCGCCAAGCCGCTGTCCGGGGCTGATACCGGCAGCCCGCGCTGCACCAGAACGACTGGTACAAACAGCAAGGGGTCTTGTTCCTAAGTTCCTACCGGCTTTGCACCTCTTTGTCCCTAAACTACTTCCCTGTCCTGGGGAGGCTTCTTGGTTAGGTCTTCCCTTCCCTACCCTGCAAAATGATGCCCAGCAATCTTCCTCAACACCTCCTCTCTCAAGCCTTTCTCCCGCTCAACCACCGCAATGGCTCGCAAACGCATGTAGGATAAACTTGCACTCTCCAGGCCTTTTAGGACCCTCTTTACCTAAGTTATCCCTCACTTTTCCCCTACCCTGTCCACCGGCTCCTCCCATGAGGCTGTCCTTGTCACACCACAGGAGCTCGCGGTTATCCATCCCTTACTCCTCCTCATAGTCTTGCCTCTGCTTATCCAAATCTCTCCCGGCAACCCATTGGCCACCTCCTCATGGAAACCTGCCCTGGCCACTCCAGGGAGGCAGTCCCTAATGGTCCTTGGAGAAAGGGTAGGGTGTGGTTGAATGAGTACTTAGAGTGGAGGCAGAGAGGCAGGGCCTGCCAGGTAGTTGCTGTGCAGGGATTTCTGTGAGGGCTCAATGAGAGAAAGCACATGACTGCCCAGGGGCGCTAGCTCTCCTTTCCCTCAGGCTAGCAATCCCTTAAAAACCTGTTGCCATGAAGTAGATTCCAACTCACAGCGACCCTAACGGACAAGGTAGAACTGCCCCTTAGGGTTTCCAAGGAGTGGCTGGTGGATTCGAACTGCCAGTCTTTTGGTTAGCAGCCGTAGCTCTTAACCACTATGCCACTAGGGTTTCCAGCAATCCCTTACTGCAGTTATTCTTATCTCCTTGACTAATAACTACATACTAATAGCAAACCTGACTGGGCACCTACGGTGTATCAGGCCCTAAGAATTTTACATGTATTAATTCCTTTAATCTTCACAACAATCCTATGAGGCACTAGTGTCATCATCATCCCCATTTTACAGGTGAGGAAACTGAGGCAGAGAGAAGTGAAATAATTTGTCCAAGGTTAAAAAGCAGAGTCAGGATTCAAACCCAGGTAGTGTGGCTCCAGAATCCATGGTCTTAGTCCTATGTCCTATCTATCCCCTCTTATGGAAATTCCTGTAGCCATCATGTGCTTAGAACTTTGATGGGCACATCGGACCTCCTTGGTATTTGTTGGTTGAACAATTTATTTTTCAAGGAGGAAGTCTTTTGAGATAGAAAAAATAATCCCATATGAACTAAAACAACTAGCAAGTGTTCAGGCCTACTTGTATGTAGCTGAGTGTGACTCCTGGTAGTTTTCACTTTGGTCTGTGAACGGGGTCAAAGGACAGGGCATGAAATGGGTCGGACTTTCAAGCAAATGTTGGTGGCTGCTGAAGCATGAAGGAAACAGGCTGGGGTCGGGATTTAACTGGCACGGTCCAAGGGTGGCACTTGTGTGGACAGGGCTGGTGATGTGTTTGGTCAATGTTCCAATAGCCTGTCTACAAATTTTAAGCACAAATGTCTTAGTATCTGAGGAAGCCTTCTCTCTAGATAGGTTTAGCCGTGTTTAAAAAATTTTTTTTCCAGAGCTTTGAGACTAATTCATCGTGTTAACACTTTTAAATTATATTACAACCAACAAACATGATACGATTGGAGAAACACATATGATTTACGAGAGATTGGTTTCACAATTTTGTTGGCATTTTCAAGTGACCAGGAGAAGCTAGTGAAGAACTGTTTCAAGGTGAGCTTGCAAGGGAGGATTTGATCAATTATTTATTCAGTGGTAAACATCTGTGAAGTGACCCTCATGTTCAGGCACTGTGCAAGGCAGTGAGGATACAAAGCTGAGAAAGAAGCCCTGTTTCTGCCTCTTGAGGATTCCACCTTCTAATGGGATTAACAGGTGTGTAGATAATTATCAAATGTGCTATTTATGAAGCAAGAAACCCCAAGGCTGCCAGTCTTATGATGTGCTATATTGGGGAGAAACTACAAGATGCCCAATGTACACTTCTATGTTTTTGTTCTTAATATTTGTTCTTGTCCGTTTTTTGGAAAAGTACAGAGAAAAATGGCTGGAGATGCTGGCACTATTTGTTCCTGGCCATTTTGTAGATTTTGAAACAAATTCAGTGACTCAAAATACTCTCAAAACCCTAAGCAATTCCTTGGTAAAGATAGGGTGACAGAGAAACAGGTCTTGGATAGGAATTCATTCACTGCAGGAACAAGGTGGGGCAGTGGTTATGGTTCAGTTGCTAATTACAGAATCCACTTTCAATATTTAAGTGGAAAGTGATCAATTACCAGATATTATGTGGTTTTCAATGCAGTGGAGCCAACTTTGGGCTGAGCTATGAGGAACAACTCCAGCCCCAGAATTTCATTGTGTTTGCTGTGATTGGGAAAAATACCAAATTAAGATATCCCAACCGTAGAACCTTATAGCCTCTGTCATGATCCACACCAGCACAATGGGAGCCTGCCCTTCAGCTATCCCTGTATTTAGCTCAGTTCTGAATTTAGGCCTCTCCTAAGTGCATGTGATTGGCAGGCTCCAATTCATGTTCTGAACCCTAGCTGCAAGGGAGTCTGGAAAAGTAGTTTCTGGCTTTCCAGTCTACTGTACAGGAATGCACATTAGGAGTGAATGTTGATTGAGCCAGTTCATGCTATCTGTTACAGTTCCTCAAAATACTGAGATTCTCTCTCTGTCCTGGAGCCCCTGGAGCATCCTCAGGCCTAGACCTCACACTTCCCCTACTCCCCCCATATATATCATTTGCTTTTTAGGCCAATGGCTTCTCAGTCCATGCCTAGGCAGAGTTCACTTTGGGGGCTGCTGTTTTTAGCACAGATTCTGCCCAGATAAAAATGCCATCCAAACAGGGGAGTGCTGTTAGGCCTTCCTGGTCTCTTGGCTGTGAAATTGCAGCTGGCATAAATGCGGTTGGCCAGTGCTGCTAGCTTTGTGGTGCCCTGGTACAAATTAGAAACAGGTGACCCCTCAGGACCAAAGCCACCCCAAGCCAGAGAACACAGCCTGGCCAGCAAAGCAAGTGTTTGATTTCAGTCCCCATCTGCCCTCTTGTCCAGACACCTTTGTGCAGTGTACAACCTGTACCATTATCTACAGCAGTCCTAGGGGTTTGGGTCATGTCCATTCTCACCCCGGACAGAATGGGACAGCATCCACAAAGGGCCTGGTCTGGTCACCAGGGCTGTGTGGAAGGCTTACCCTGCTTTCTCTCCTCTTCCCCCAGAGATTCCCCAGTGTGCTGGCTGCAACCAGCATATCCTGGACAAGTTCATCCTGAAGGTCCTGGACAGGCACTGGCACAGCTCCTGCCTCAAGTGTGCAGACTGCCAGATGCAGCTGGCTGACAGGTGCTTCTCCAGGGCCGGGAGTGTCTACTGCAAGGAAGACTTCTTCAAGTAAGTTAGCCTCTGGGCACTGTCTCCTCTCCTTACCCTGGTCTGTCTCTGCTTCTCCTCATGCAGGAAGGAGGACTCCCATCTCCCTTGGGGGAGGCTTGCAGTGAATCGGAGTAAGGGGGAGCAATGGTTCATCCTTGGGGGGGTGAATCCTGGTGATGGGAGGATGCTCCTCATTGAGGGCCCCCTTTGATCACCTTCCTCATCACTGTTGAGGGCCAGCGTCTCAGCCTCACTTGAGCTCTGCGAGGGGCAGAGTTGGGGCCCAGGGAGGACATGAGCCAGAATTCACAGGGGGCTCACAGAGGATCTTTGCAAATTCTAAAAGAAATTGCTTCATCTTGGTGACTTGGTGCCTCAGGGCACTTGGCTGTGTTATTCCGGCTTTCAGAGCGCATGCTTTCAGTTCTATGCTTTCATCTAGAGGAGTCTGCTGGCTGTGTTTCCCCAGGCCATGTCAAGGGCCTGACAGGCTTAGAGGAGTTGCTCCTGGTAGGAGTCAAAGGCTGGCTCTTAAGCAGGACCAAGAGGCAGTTTTGTGTGATGGTTAAGAGCCCAGACCCTGCCTGGGTTTAAACCCACTTACTGTGTGCTTTTGGGCAAGTTACTTAGCTTCTCTGTGCCTCAGTTTGCTTATCTGTAAAATAATAATAGTTCCTACCCATCGGGTTGTTACTAGCTTTAAATGAGTTAATGTGTGTAAAGTCCTTAAAATAGTGCCTGTCATCTGACTGTTAGCTATTAAGACTGTCCTGGATTTTTCATTCTGGGGTTGGGTCCATCAGAAAAAACCTATTGGAGCTTTGGGTCAGGGTGAGGGGAATTTTCAGAATCTATTTTCTGCAGCATTTAGTCTGATATTTCTCTCCTGGAATCTATTACTCGAGGTGGACCAGCAGGCAACAGCAAAGCCCAGCCAGGAGGCAGGGGTTGTCAGTCAGCCGCACGGAGGCAGCCCTGGGTGGCCCCAGCGACTGCTAGGAATGGGGTGGACCTAAGGGGAGGCTCCCGGGGCCTGAAAACCTTTAGCAAAAAATGGCCGAGCCCCAGAGAGGTGCTGCACTTCCTCCTTGGAAGAAAGATGTGGCAGTCTGCTTCCCTAAAGATTTACAGCCTTGGAAACCCTATGGGGCAGTTCTACTCTGTCCTATAGGGTCAGTATGAGCCGGAATCAACTTGATGACAATGGGTTTGTTTTGTTGTTTGAGGATGTATATACTGGGGACAGGGAGGAGAAATAGGTAGAAACGTCAATTCCCAGATAGAGAACACGATTTCCTCCCAAATCTTCTCAAAGATTTACCTAAAAGGAATATGTGAAACTTATGATTAATTGAATTTCTGAGCATTCTCAAATTTCTTTGGTCCAATGAGTTGAAAATCATGTTACAAAGATTGTCTTGGTAACTACTGAGCTGCCTCCTTGGCTGTGTTCAGAAGGCTGCACTTATTGTCACATCACACTTTGGTCACATATGTATTGCACTCCACGTGTGTGTGTGTGTGTGTGTGCGTGTGCGTGTGTGTCTGCATGTACACTACATGAAGTCAGGAACAGCTCATACGGGCACACCCAACAAAACCTTCCTTGATGATTCAAATCAAGGGACTGGCCTTTGAGTTTTTCCTCTAAGCTTTTTCTGTATATTGTTCCTCCTTCTCCTAATTTTCGTTTTGCTTTCCTCACCTCTGATTCTCACCTCCTTTCTTTTATTCTAGCATTTACAGTACACAGTTCCATCCCCTCCACCCACATCCTTTCTCAGGAGCAACGAGTTTGCCTCCACTTGAACTGGCAGAATCTGGCAGACCTCTGCTCTTGATGGTGCCCTGGTCAAGCCCATGGCAGCTCCTGAGGGACCCTGGATGGGGTGAATTTCATTGTGTGTCTGTGTGTGCATGTGGGTATACCTGTGTGTACATGAGAACATGAATCTGTGTGTATGAGGAGGGCAGGAGGAAGCAGGATGGATGAGAGGGCCTGACCTTGGGGGTTGGGTTAGCCACTATGGTCAGAGTTCCCCCCTTCCCCCACTGCACCTTTGTAAAGCCTCTGTGTGCTCCAGAGGTGAGGCAAGAGGCCACATCTCCTTGCCCATCAGAGGACAGCGCAAGTGCTGAGGTGTCCCTGTGTCAGTCCTCAGGGCCCATAGGGATCAGCTGGTCCAGCCTGGCAGGTCAGGGCAGCCCGTGGGACGCAGGCAAAGCCTGTCAGGGCCTAGGACCTGAGATCTGTCACCAGAGCAGCACTTGTGGACCTCAGCATTGCCCCAGGCCCCCCTCTGGCTTTTGGACCCTGACTGGCTGACTTTGGGTTTGGGAAAGGGCGGGGCTGAGAGGGAGACGGCAGCAGCTCAGGTGTTGGGTTGGGTTGGGAGAAGTTGCCATAAGGAAAGAGGGATCCCACAGACCCAGGAGGGGCCCAAGGAGGGGGCTGGGAGGGGGTCACCGCAGGCCCGGGAGCCGTAAACCCAGGACCAGAAATAATACGACTTGGGCAGGGCCATTACTCGGTGCACCTGGCCCCTGCCTTCACGATCTCACCGAACCTGTGCCCCCGTCCTCTTTTGGATTCATACATGCCCTTGCTCAGGTAACCTCCTGAGTGCTCCCCTGCTGCTTGTCCCCTTACTAGCACACACACCTCCCCGACAGATGAGCCCTCCCACCTCTCGGCTCAGGTCATGTCTCCTCCCGCCAACTCCTTCAACACGGCCCCCTGCCTGCTGAGTAAGCCCAGATGTGGCAGTACCATCAGAACCTTCCGCGCCGTGCGCAGCCTTCCTTCCAGCCCTCCCTCACTGCTTTCCTGGGTCACCTCTGTTATTGTTAGCTGCTGTGGAGTTGACCCCCAGCTCGTGGCGACTTTATCACAGCGGAAATAACGCTGCTGGGTCCGCTGCCACTTCCATGAAGGAATGGGACTGTTGTGAACTATAGGGTTTTCATTGGCTGGTTTTCAGAAGATCACCAGGCTTTTCTTCCTAGTCTGTCTTAGTCTGGAAACTCCAATGAAACCTGCTCAACATCATAGCACTCACAAGTCCTGTGTCCCACCAAACACGGTGCCCCTTTCCCCAGGTATGCTTTGTATGTTCCCACCTCTCCACCCTGGTCCAGGCTATTTTCTCTTCCAGGGTTGCTGTTCCCTCCATCTCCACCCTTTCAAGGTTTCCCAATCCTTCCAAGGCTGCTCAGAGCCCATCGCCTGGGGGTAGGGTGGGATGGGAGTCCCTGGAGAGGCATCACCGCCCTCTCCCGTCTCCCTCCCGGTGACTCAGCTCCAGCGGCTTTGTTGAGCCCATTCCTCCTGCACCTGTTGCATCTTCCTGGTTGGCTTGAACAGAGGGCCTCTATGTTTGTTTCTCTGTCACCTATAAGCACCTGGTCCGAACTGTGCTCATGGTCTGTCCCTGGATTTGTTGCAGCAAGGAGTAAATTACACAGTGAATTTCTGGTGAGCAGTTTCTTCTGGACCTTCTGGACCTGTGAGTCAGGGAGGCTCTGGCTGCCTCCGATCATACAGGCCCATCATATAGCCACAGTTGTCCCCCGTCCCATGGGATTTTTCCACTTCACAAAATGGTCCATTCTAAGGGTTGATTCCCTTTGTAAAGAGGGGCAGCGGCCACCCCATGAGTGCTGAATCCAGGCCATTAACCTGAGGGTGCTGTGTGGAGAGAAATTCAAAGCTGAAGTAACTTCCCTCACTGCCAATGGAGAGTCCATCAGACATGGAGAGAGGGTGGCTCTGGAGTCTTGAGTGAGCTGGGGTAAGGACACTGCAGTGACAGGCAGCCCCCTACCCCAGCTCTTCAGGACGTGGCTGTTGGTCATCCAGGAAGGCACTGCTGCGGGCCCTGTCCCAGGCGAGGTGCAGGGAGGGGTGAGTTGCCCAGGGTCACTGAGTGGCCTCCCACACCTGGGGGTCCTAGGAGCCACTGCCTTCTTAGGGGTCAGGCTGTGACTGGCCCTCATTACAGCTCACTAAATATCACCAGGCACCTGCTTGCAGATGGCACACTGGACACACTGTTCACGGAAGGAGTGAGGGAGGGAGAGAACACCCAGAACTCTGTCTTCCTGTTCTCACACTGGCTGCAGGCGTCACACCTGTGGTGGCCTTGTGAGCAGGACAAGCAGATGCTGTGCACTTGAGTTCACCCTGAATTCATCTGTCAGACCTCACGATGCTTTTAGCTGAGGGGTTTGGAAGATGCCAAGTCAGAGCCAGGGAGGGGCCCTTCTCAGTGCTCCTTGGAAAAAGCAAAAAACCTGCCCTTTTCTGCTACCTGCCCCATAGTCCTGGTCAGAGGCAGGGTGCAAGATTCACTGATCTCTCTCATCTCTGGAGCGAGTAATATGTTTCTGAGTTCCAGGATCTATATTTTAATCTCTTTGCTTATAACAAGGGGCAGGCCCACTGCTCTGCACAACTCCAGGGGGCATCTTTCATATGACATTCTGTAAGTCGACAATGTAATGTGAAGAGAGCCCCTGGAGATGTGTAATACTCAGAAGTGGAGGGAGCCTCAGGGCAAAGTGGAAGGTCAGGTCGTCCCCCAGCAGGTGAGACATGGTAGTACTGGTGATCAACAGCAGAGGGCGGTGTTGGCAAGTACATAGAGGAAGAAAGAAGTATTGTCGGGAGGTTGTACTCTGTGGTTGTTGCATTTTTCTCTTGGGGCTGTTGAGTTTGTCTTGCTCAGCAACACTGGTTGATTTCTGGCTGCTGTTTGTTGGTTTTGTCTCTTGGGTTCTTGGCTCCCCTTTCTTCAAAGGAAATAAAACTCTGAGGCCCAATAAAAGAGGCTGTGATGTGTTCTGAGTCTAGTGGGAGCTGTAAGCATGGAGAGCCCACGCCACATGCAGAGGATGTTCCAAAGCTTTAGTGCACTTTGAATTGCAAGTTGAGGGGCCAACATCTTCTGTCTGCATTGCCAAGCAGGTCCTTTCCAGACCATGCATCCAGCCTGTCACTGGTCCCGTGTCTCCTTGCA